ATGGACTTTTTGTTGAATATAGGAAAAATATGCTTGTGATTTATGGGTTTGATAATCAGAAAGGATAGACTGTGGAAAGGAAGGGGTTATGATATAACCTTTAACTGCTGTAAAGATTAGAACTTATTTTTTTAACATCTTGTCTTTTTCTCTTCTATTTCTTTCCTTTCTTTATTCTACTTTCTTTTCTTTACTTTTTTCACTTTTTTCTTTAAATGTTATTTTATAAGATAAATTCTTCAATAAAAAATTATTAAAAGATAAGAAAAGAGAAAAAAAGCCAGAACAAATTGCGATCCTGTATTTTTTAAGGCAAACATTTTGAGAATTATTTTGCAGCTCACAGTGCATAACTTTCTTTATGTATACTGTATTGTACTAATGTATTCATAGCTGGAGTGTAAAGTCCAATGTACAGTATATTGCTAGGAAACTTTTTGCATCAACAGTCATTTCAAAACCTGACCTTTAATCCATAAAAATTTTCAGAAAGAGTTACAGTGGCATTGAATGACAAATACTTACAACGGGTCCTCATATTTACAACTGTCACAGTGTCTGTGGGGCCATGATTGTGATTTTCAACATTCTGTTCCAGCTACCCATGAGCAAAGTCAATTGCAAAGCCAAAAAGAAGTTGGAAATCACAGTCATCACAGGTTTTTGCTTATCAACCTGCACAATCCTCACTTAATGATGGCAATTGAGACTTCCAAAATTGCTGTTGTTAAGTGACCCAATCATGCGACACCACACTTCTGGGCCTAACTGCCATTATAAGTCAAGAATTACCAGTATGACAGAAGCTTCAGCAACACAGCTACATGGGAAGTGAGTGGAAGCAAAAAAAATCTTCTCCAAATGAAAGGACCCACTTCAGTCCACATCTTAACAAAGCAGAACTCTTGGAAATGGTTTCTTCCAACAGGAACTTTTATTAAGAGAAATTGATAGCAGGCATAATAGACAGGATCTGAGGGATTCCCTTACAATTTGATGATTTAAAGTGTCCCTAAGCAGCCCCCACCCTGCAGTTCTTCCAGGCGATTCAGGCAGGCAGATTTCTAGGTGTTAAATCCAGGAAAGATAACGTCAATCTGGCTCCGTTGGGCAGGAACATTCAACATCTCCTCACACAGATCCCGGAGACTGCATCTTTTCACCCCCCCCCCCTTTCCTCGCTGGCTGGTAAGAAGGAGAAGTTCAGAGGGGCATAGGATGAAAGGCAAATGGTTACATTGTGATGATTAGCAGACCCAAAGCAAATCAACAAAAAGTTACTTTGTAGTGAATAAAGGAAGTGAAAGTAATAAAAACCCCATGCATATCCCCCTCCCCCTTAGGAGTATGACACGATCCAGGAGAGAGTAAGAATTGGTTTTATATCAGAGAAGATAGATAGAAAGGAAATATAACTGGATTCTGACATCCTGCCCCACTTAAAAATAAGAGAGATCCACCTGTAGAGAAAACAAAACAGGTATAAAAGTTAATCTGGCTTGTTAGGATACTCTGTATGAAACTTCTTTAACAGCTTCGGGCTCTGACATGACATTTATGGACCCACTCATTTTGTGAGGAGGGGAGGTGTTTCCATGCTACTAGGTATTGAGTTGTCCCATGATATCTCCTAGAATCTAGGATTTCCTTTATCTTGAAGTGTTGTTCTCCTTCCATCATGATTGGAGGTGGTGGTGGTGGGGATTTTTGGCCATAAGGGTGACTGATGCTCTCTTTTCAGCAAACTGCAGTGAAAAATTGGATGTATTTGCCTGAGATTTTTAGGTAATTCTAATTTTACTATTACTGGGTTTATGATTCTTTTAATTGGAAAAGGTCCTATATATTTTGGTCCAAGTTTTTTACAGGGTTGTAGGGATTTTAGGTATTTTGTACACAAATATACCATTTCTCCTACAATGAATGGTGTGGGTTCAACTCTTTTTTATCTGCTTGTGCTTTGTATGCTTGCCTACTTTTATCTAAGGCTTTTCGATCTATTGTTTTGTAATTGTTCTATTCATTCTTTCAGTGATGGGATTGCCGGTTCGTTTGGGATTAGTTCTGGCATGGGGTTGAAACTTTGACCAGTGGCTATTTGAAAATGAGTGTAACCTGTGCTGGAGTAGACTGCATTATTGTAGGCAACTTCTGCAAAAGGGAGTAGGTCCGTCTAATTTGTTTGCTGGAAATTAATAAAGCATCTTAAGTATTGCTCAAGTACTGAGTTACAACGGTTCCCCTGAGGATGATGGCTAGATGAAAGTCCCTGAGTGTTTCCTAAGAGGGATAAAAATTCCTTCTAAAATGCTGATGTAAATTGCACTCCCCTATCAGATATGATGCATTGGGGTTCCCCATGCAATTGGTAAATGTGCTGCATGAAAAGTTTCACCAAGGCTTTTGTGGTGGGGATCTTTTGGCAAGGGATAAAGTGCAACAAATCCGTAACCATCCAGATGACAGTGTTTCCATTGCTTTCTGGTAGTTCCACCTATAAAATCCATGGCTATTTCCCTCCGGGGGTTGAGGGATTTGCCACTGTTTGTAACAGTCTGGGCGATTTCCCTTGCAACCTCTTTGCAGTTGCGCATGTTGGGCAGCTGGCCACATAACTTTCTATGTTCTTTTTCATGGATGACCACCAAAATTGCCTTTTAATTAAGTGTAATGTTTTTACAAATCCAAAATACCCTGCTGATTTTGTGTCATGGCAAAGCTGCATGAATGTGACTCTCTGGGTGGTTGGTATATATAACTTTTCCCCCACCCAAGGCAGTCCATCCTTGATTGTGCACATGTGTCTATTTTTCTGGAACCATTCATCTGTTTCCAAAGTTTTTTGGAATTCAATTCCGGTTTGGCTACCCAGCTGCGGTTTTAATTTAGTTTGGGCTCAGGTAGTTACTGGCGCTGCCAGCTGTGATTCCACCATAATTGGTTTAGAGTCGGTGCCTTGCGTGCTGTTATATTGAGGCATGCATCTGGTAGGAAGTTCTTTTGCCCCAGCAAGGGCTTGAGCGTAAAGTGGAATTGGTGAAAATGTTGGGACCAGTGGGCCTGCCTGGTGAGCTTCCTGGATGTTTTCAAGGCTTCCAGGTTTTTGTGGTCTTTCCACACCTGAAAAGAGATCTTATTCCCTTCAAGGAATTGGCGCCACATAAGTAATGACCAACATATCCCATATGCCTCTTTCTCCCACATGGGCCAGCGCTGTTCTGTTTCGGTGAGTTTCTTAGATATATACGTGCATAGTTGCAATACCCCTTCTTCATTTTCTTGTAATAGTACAGCCCCCCTGCCACATTACTTGCATCTGCCTGTATTACGAAGGGTTTATCCATGTCTGGAAGCCTCAGTATGGGTTCAGCAGAAAAGAGTTTTTTTAATCTCTTAAATGCCGCTTGGCATTTCATTGTCCATTTTAGTGGCTGGCTAGGTTTCACTGAGGATTCTCCCTTTGTTTTTAGTAAGTCCATGAGGGGCAGGGCTATCTGGGCAAATAAGGGAATGAACTGGCGGTAAAAGTTTGCGAAACCCAGGAAACTTTGCAGCTGCTTCCTTGTGCAAGGTGGTGCCATTCTAATACTGCTCTGACCTTCTCAGGGTCCATTTCAATGCCCTGTGGGGATATGCGATAACCCAGGTAGTCTATTCTTTCCTGATGGAATTCACATTTTGATAATTTGGCATATAGGTGGGCAGCACGCAGTTTCTTTAAAACCGCTCTGACTAGGTTGACATGCTCTTCTTTGGATTCGGTGAAGATAAGGATGTTGTCTAAATAAACCAGGACCCTTTTAAATAGGTGTGTCAGTGTGTACATGTGCCGACTTGAAGTTAGTTTTCAACTCTTGTTGACTACCAGGATGAAAGGCAAGATTCAAAAGTGAGTTGTCCTTGCCTGTTTCCCAGGGTTGAGAGAAAGAGATTGGCCCAAGGTCATCCAGCTGGTTTGTGCTTAAGGTGGGACTAATACTTGCAGTCTCCCAATTTCTAGTCTTATGCCTTAATTGTTAGACCAAAATGGCTCTGAATCCTTTCTTTTGAATTTACAGTGCACCAATTAGAAAAGAAAAATATATAACAGAGTTTGTAAGCAACTATATATTGTATATTCTTATAAATCATATGTAAATACATTATAGTATGAAAAATCATGTCTTCCAACCTGTGTTATTATGGGTAAATCTATTTAAAAATACATCTTATGAAGTGAACTGAGTGAGAATATATTTGGACAAGAAACAACTTTAAGACTGAAATTGAGAGAAATTCAAATTGAGAGAAACTCAAAACCCCTTATTCATAAAAAAATTCAAAAGAAGCTAGGGCTTTTATAAATGAAAGCAAGTGATCAAATGCCTTCTAAAGAAGAGGGGTGGGCCACAAAAGGGATCAGCATCAATACTCACTAGAATTAAAACAGAAGATTTGAAACTCATTCAATACCCATAACTCCCCAGTCCTCTCCTCTCTACTCTTGACATTCTCATACTTTCTCTAGGATTACCCATAACCCCCTCCTTTCATCATCATCATCATCATCACCATCATCATCTCTCTCTCTCTCTCTCTCTCTCTCTCTCTCTCCATTTCTCTCTTTTCACAGAGAATTCTACTTCCATCCTCCCTTCTTTGTCATTTTCCACAATCTTCCCGGCCTCCTTCTCCCTTATCTTGGCTTCCAAAGTAATGTTTTTTTCTGGAAGCAGATATTTCTGTGTCAAGTAACTTTCATTAGACATTCTGTGACAGAACTGCAGGGGAAAGATAGAGGGTCCTGAAGCATTATTTCAATATCTGCTGCTAGAAGGTTATGTTGCTGAACTACAATGATCCACAAGTATTCCAGTTCTGTTTTCCTTATTTATTAATTAATAGGGAGTGAGAGATACTGCCACTATCTTGTGGCATGCTGCAGGACTCAATATTCTCTCCCTTCCTTTTAAACAACTACATGAAGCCACCGGGTGAAATCATCTGTCACCATGAGTTGAGATATCTGCAGTACGCAGACAAAACTCAACTTTGCATTTCCACTCCTGGTAACCCTGTTGATGCTGTTGCTGCCCTCTTGCGGTGTGTAGAGGCTGTGGGGCCCTGGATGGGGAGCAACAGTTCAATTGAACCCTGTGGCAAGACTGAATGGCTTTGGGTGCATGGAGCCCCAAGAACCCGGATATCTTTAGTTCTGGATCAGGTGCCCACTGTATGCATCACAATTTAATATTTCCAAGAATTGCACTATACCAACACAATGAGATTATTTTACTGGAATTTACTATTTATTATCTCAGAAAAAGTCCAAGAAGAAATAACAAATGTTGTTGGATATGCTCAGCCAGGAACCGAACACCGAACAAAAATGCCATACACAGATGCTGTAGTCCATGAAGTTCAACAATATGCCGATGTCATTCCCTTAAACTTGCCACATGCAACTACAGTGGATGTTAACTTTAAGGGCTACTTCATTCCAAAGGTGATTGTATCTGTATTGTTCATTTCCTAATCTCAGTTGATTACATTCAGTTCATTTATTATAGTACAACAATAAACAATCTTCAAAAGCTTTCATAAATCACTTGCCACAGGCTCTATTAATTCTAGGAATATAGTAATCTGGCATATTTGATTTTATTCAAACTCTATGGAGACACAAGCTTGCATATAGATAGAGTAAAGTGTATATTGTGTGGTGGGGAGAGCTATAGTAATCTTTGGTAGCCAAAAAAGTAGAGTTTATATCATCATAATGATCAAATAGGAATGCAAATTATTCTTAAGAATAACTAAGCAATGATGTTTCTCATAGATCCTAATACATTATCAGAGAATATGTATTGTAAGTGAAGCCTTTTCATTCTGCCATCTGTATGTAACATAAGAGAACATACTATGTAAGGAATATCTGCAGGAATGAAGACTCTGAAGTCTTAATGTTTGGAAAGCATCCATATATTAAGAAGCTTTCTATTGCAGATACCTCATTCTCTATACATACAGGGGAACACAGGGAAAATGAGGGAGTATATGGATTAAAGAGGTTTAAAAGTCCTGCGTGTACCTTACTAAAACTAAGAACTATGGAACTCAGTGGCGTTTACTACTAAGGAAGCAAATGTAGATATTTGTGCTTGCAATCCAGCACAAATGCCTATAAAAATCCATTTTATTGTTGCAAGTAGAAACAAAGATCCAAGGAAGTTCAACAAATTAAGAGTTTCTCCATACAGATCAGATTAGGTGATTGGACAGAATAGTGCCTCTGGTATCACATTGAAAATTTCAGGATTATACAATAACTTGGTGCATGATGTACCAGCTTGATTTTTAAATTACCCATTGCTTTCTCTTTATAGGGCACCCATGTGGTTCCGTTGCTGACTTCTGTGCTACATGATGAATCGCAGTGGGAGAGACCTCATGAATTCTACCCTGAACATTTTCTCAACACTGAAAGAAAATTTGTAAAAAGAGATGTATTCATGCCTTTCTCTGCAGGTAGCCATTTAATTTTTTTTAAATAAAAATGAATAAAATTATATTTAGCTTTTCTCCCTGATTAAAATCTCCCAAATAGGCTAATAGTTTAAGAATTAATAGTGTAATTAATTAATACCATTTAGGTTTTATTCTGTTCCAAGTCCCTGCTACCTTAGAAATACTCTGTGAGAAATAGCAATAACAATAAGATAACTATAAGAACCAACTCACTGTGAGAAACAAACCAAAAAATGTACAATACAGCTGCAGTTATAACTGAATACCTGGGATGCAAAATCAACAGAGAAGAAAAAAAAAATCAAACAGTGCACCACAAAAATGGAAGATTAGACTGGAAAATAAGATCAGCAAGTTGAGATCAGATGCAAGCAAGGTAGAACCAATGAAAGAAAAGAAGCTGAAGAACAAGTAGACCAAAGAATACCTAATCAAGAAATACCACTTAGAAAGAAGGAAGATCAAGGAAGCACTGGAAATAATAAAGCAGCAAATAACAGCTATAGCTAAGAAGATCAGCAGATACAAAGCTCGAATTGCAAATTATGGGCAGAACCTCCAATTTCAATCCAATTAGAAATGAAACTGCACTGAATCGGTCAGTTCCAGTCATTAGATACACAGCTGTAATAGTGGACTGGACTTAAGCAGAACTAAAAACAATGGATAGGAAGACTAGAAAAATAATGATAACAAATCATGCCTTTCATTCATGCAGCGACATTGACAGACTCTACCTACCAAGATAAATAGGTGGGAGTGGAATGTTGCAAGTATATCAGATAGCTGAAGAAGAAAAAATGGCTTTGGAAGAATATTTGAAGGACAATGAAGAAGATGCACTGAAGTTGATATTCCAGGAAGGCTTACTGATTACTGGAGAGATCAAACTGGCCTACAAGAAAGACCAAATGAAGAACAGAATGGAGGCATGGGAAAATAAAGCACTTATATGGCCAGTACATTAAAAAAAATAGCAAGAAAGCAGATAATGACAAGACCTGGCAATGGCTAAGAGCAGAAAAGTTGAAGAAAGAGACCGAAGGACTAATTCTGGCTGCACAAGACCAAGCCTTAAGGACAAATGCATACAAAGTCAAAATTGAGAAGACAGCAACAGACTGTAAGTGCCACCTATGCAAAAAAGCTGAAGAAACAAGGGACCACCTGGTAAGCTGCTGCAAGAAGATCACCCAGAATGATTGCAAGCAGTGGCATGGGAAAGTAGAAACAATGTTGCATTGGAAGATCTGCAAGAAATATCATTTGCCTGCAAGCAAGAACTGGTGAGACCAAAAAATAGAGAAAGCCATAAAAAATGAAGAAGTTAAATTGCTCTGGGATTTTAAAATTCAAACAGACAGGCACCTGCCACATAACACCCCATACTTAACAACTGTCAATAAGAAAGACAAAAAAGTCTGAATAGTGGATATGGCAGTACCTGGAGACAGCAGAATAGAAGAGAAAGAACTGGAGAAGATAACAAAATGCAAAGACCTACAAATAAAAATAGAACGATTGTGGCAAAGGCAAGCAAAGATAGTACCAATAGTAATAAATGCCTTGGGTGCAATCCCAAAACAACTGGAGCATCACTTGAACACCATTGGCATTGACAAATTCGTTCGTCAGTCAATTGTAAAAGGCGGCTTTACTGGGAACAGCTTCCTTCCTGCGACAATATCTGTAACACCATCAAACATCCAGATCTGCCTATCCCAGGTCCTTGTTAAGGACTCGATAGGTAATCAAAAATACCAAACCCAGTCTGAACATCTGGCTGACTGTGCAATAATCAATAATATTAATAGTAGTGGTAGCAATAATAATATTTTTATCAATTTATTTATTGAAATGTTGATACACTTCTGAGATCCATTATAGGGGTGTCCTTAGTGGGAGCATTATTCTTCTGTATGATTAGTCAGTAAGGTCTCAATTTTATAGTGAACTCTCAAACCAATATAGCACGAGAAGGTGGAATAAAATGTTATTAACACAGCTAATAAATCTGTTTCTTGTTACAGGTCGGAGAGTATGTCCAGGTGAGACCCTTGCCAAAACAGAAATATTCATGTTCTTTACTAGTCCTCTGCAGAAATTCATTCTCCAACCAGCTCCTGGATTGTCAAAAGAAGACCTGGACATGACCCATGCAGTTGGGCTTATCACACCTCCCAATACTTACACATTATGTGCTCTACCATGTTCTTAAAATAGGAACATTCAGCAATTCATTAGTCTGAATTGCTCAGCTGCATCTGTCTCTCTGGGAGCCTTCTGGTGGCCTTCATTTATGCCTTCTCTGAAACATTAAAGGTACCACATAGATTCTGATGAGTCGCATCAAATCAGTAGTAGACAAAAGATACCTTAAAATGCACTCTTAGTTATTGTATCAATCGCTATAAAGAACAATCAACAAACTGGTCCAATGATTTTGACCAATAATTACATTAAACATGAAATTTCTTCTCTTTCTTTCCAGGTAGCATGGCTGCAGTATAAGAATATCATTTGTTAAGCAGGGGAAACAATAAATGTGAACTAACTAACCTCAATTCCACTTTTTGCTCATGACTTATTCATTGTTGCTGTATTTTCCCACTTCACCAAACATTAATCATGCGACTTAGAGAAAAAATTGTTCTCCACATACCAGACAATATTATTTTGGGTTTGATGCAAACCTGAAAACAGGTCTGTTCCCTGCTTCTCTTGCTAAGGCATCTGTGAAGGGAAATGATGGCGATCAAAGGGAACGTATTGAACAGAAGGACAACTGTGGAGCCACTTTCATTCATCCTGAAAGATGATAAGAACATCTCCAGATCAAATCAGTAGTTTGCACAGGAATATAGTTTCCACATGCTCCCTATTCATATGTGCACATTAACATGTATGTACACGTGTCCAAATGGATACAGGAATAAAGATATAGTATTCAAAGTGCAGGTTCATATATTGCATTTTAGAGAAGCAGGCAATAAGAATGTGAAATTGGGGGAAATGACTCAAAAATACTTGTGTCAAATAATATCTGAGAATCATGCCTTCCATTTAGAAATGGAAAGGGGAAATAATGGAGTCCATGAGTTTATCATTACCTTGCCCAGGATCTCAGTTCTTGAATTAACACTGCACACTGGGAAACATCAGAAGGTTTTTGCATTTGAAAGGAATATAATGGTCTTAAGCTATCTTAAAACTTTATTGGTTTGTTAGTCCAAAGGTTTCATGGATCTGATCCACTTCACCAAATCCATGGAATATAGTCCTGAGGATCTGTCATTCACAGCAAAGCCTGGCTCATAATCACTCATGCCCACCTTGCTTCTTTTTTGGATCTCTGCAATGCCCTACTCTACATGAAATTGCCCTTGAAGATCACCTAGAAATTTTAACATGACCAGAATGCTGAAGCACACACAGGCTTGTGAATCCCAAAGTTCTTCATTGTTACACTACTACTGCATAAGTTTCTTTCTGGGGCAATTCAAGCTGCCGATTATCAATTTTAAAGCCCTAGATGCACAGAACCGGGTTGTTTGAGGGATTGCCTCTTCATGGTGATGTTTACCTGTCTGGCTAGATTTTATAAAGTAGTCTCATTCTAGGACTGCTCTGTTAAATGTTGTCATCTGCTGAGACCTCATAACTGAGCCATAACTGAGATACAGATGGACCTTTCTTGCTTTCCAGAAGGCCTTGAAGACCTGGCTTTTCCCTGAGACATTGGGTCAGAATGGGAGCCAAACCCAACCACTTTTTCTTGAGGATAATCTTATGGATCCTATAATGTGTTAGAGTTTTATTTTTGTGGAGTATTCATATGTTGGGTTGTTTCATATAATATAATCAGACAGACAGATGATGATGATGATGATGATATTATCCATTCAATCATGTCTAACTCTTGGTGATTCTATGGGCCAGGCCTCTCCATGTCTTCCGATCTTGTACTATTTCTTTGAGTTGTTCTCTGCTCTGGCTGGTGTCAGTTTTGAAGTTGCCAGTCACCATGTTCTTCGGCAGCTGGTTTCCTTTTACTGCTAATTCTTCCAAGCATAGTTGCTTTCTCCTTTAAATTCCCCTGCATGACATGGCCAAAATAAGAGAGATGCGGTTTTGTGATTTTTGCCTTCCAGTGACAAGTCTGGTGATATGCGCTCCAGTACTTGCTTGTTACACCTTTGCTGTCCAAGGAATATGCAGGAGCCTTCTACAGCATCATAGCTCAAACGCATCAATTTTCTTCCTGACTTGCTTTTTCAAGTTCCAACTTTTACAACCATAGACTGCTACGGGGAACATATTTTGATTACCAAGTTGATGTCAGGCAGCAAGATACTTTTTTTCAAATTAAAAAAAATACCATTTACAAGTCTGGGATCCCTTTGTTCACTGAAGTTTCTGTACTCATTTCAGAATGCAGTTAAATCTTGTCATTTTACAGTGGCTGGGATATACTTTGACTAATTCCACCTCCTAATTTTTTGTTTTCTCCATTCTGTTGTCAGAATGATTTGACAGGGACCTTGCAAGCATTATTGAGGAATGAGACAAAAATCTCATTTTCAATGGGCAATGTGGAAATATCATTACTTCTTATTTCATATGAATGATTTTATTTTTATCCATCAGAATTACAGTGCTTTATATAATAGAATTAGGATTAGGATTGGGTTGACTTTGGAACTTCAAGGATGTATTTTTATATTGGAAAAATTATTGAAATTTCAAAATAGTGTATTCTATTCCTTTCTTTTTTCTTATTCCTTGCTCCCCCCCCCTTTCTGGTTTTTGTTGTATTTTATTTATTTTTTTCCTTTTATTCTTCCCCACTCCTGTTTTCACATATTTTTACATAGGCTTATATGTGAGATTCCTTACATTTACATCTGTTCATATGTGTTCTCAAATGTAATCTATACAAAAAATTAATTCAAACATTTTTTTTTTAAAAAAAAAAATCTCTGAGAGATATAGAGTTCCTCTAGTGGAGTTAGTCATAGTCAGCTAGACTAAAGAAGGAGAGAATTAAAAGTATTTATAAATAAGAACTTGGCATCTCTAAACTCTTTCAGTTTTATTATCAGTTTAGTATATCAAAAGACAACCATGCATACAAACATCTATAGATAAACAAAACCAGCTGCTTTCCAAATATGAATTTGATCTACCTTGCTTGCATTCCCAGTCTCTAAAGCAGTGGTTCTCAACCTGTGGGTCGGGACCCCATTTGGGGTCGAATGACCATTTCATGGGGGTCGCCAAACAAGGCTGTCCGCCATTTTTTCCCCCTTTTCTTTGGCCACGCCCCTGGCACCTGGTGATATATAAGTGGTCACCACAGCATGGGGAACTGTATTATGGGGTCGCGGCATTAGAAAGGTTGAGAACCACTGCTCTAAAGATAAATGTTACACATTTTATAATTACGTATCTTTTCCAAGGTAAAACTTCTTTGCAGCAGTAATGGATGAGAGGGAAGAGCATATTAATTGTTTGTTGACAATGTTTGGTCAGGCAGTAATAGAGCATTTTGCAACAGCAGAGCAGTAATCTTTGCTCAGTTTTGGCTCTTACATAGTTTATTCTGTCCATTTTTAAGCTCCTGATTAGATATTGAGTTTGTTGTTTCTGATTAAGCATAAACCTTTTAGAGATATTTTCTCTGTGTGTGTGTTTGTATGTGTGTCTGTATAATGCTTATTGCACACATAGTTTTTCAGCCTATTTTATAGAATAAAATGCAACACAAAAAAGTACCTAAAATGCAATATAAACTGCATAAATAGTATTAAATGTCCACCTGGTGTTGAAAAGAGTTCAGCGGGAGGCACACTTTGATATTTTGAGATTAGGTTACAAAGGGGTTTTTTGTCATAGAACGTCCAGAACAGAATTCCGGCACCTTTTTTGAATGGAACCTTGTAGGGTAGGCAAGGTGGGTTGTATGACATCTGTGAGTTCCGGCACTTTTTTTTTTTTTTACAAAAAAGCACTGAGGTTACTATAGACTAAAAAATGGCTACTGAGAACATGACTGATTGCGAAAGTTTTCCTAGCATCCAGCATGCAGACACTGTTCAGTAGATGCTAGACTGGCAATCTCTTGTGTAGGTCAAGTTACCACTAAACATATAAGCAGGGCTTTTTTTCTCATAGAACGCCCAGAACGGAGTTCTGGCACCTTTTTTGGATGGAACCTTGTAGGGTAGGCAAGGTGGGTTGTATGACATGTATGAGTTCCGGCACCTTTTTTTTTTTTCAAAAAAAGCACTGCATAGAAGAACTGCGTTGGGTTATTTGATAACTCTGAAGTTGGTCTGAAAATACATAGCCACAGGTAAAGCATGAGTGTGAATATAGGAATAAATTGGACAAATTTAAATGCAGAGGACATTACTTTCAGTTGGTTCAAGTAAAACAGCATTTTTCACCCTCATCCCTGTTTCTGGAATTAACTGGTGAGGAGAAACCTCCATGCATTCCCAGTTCATATCTTTAAAGAGTTAAATGGGAGAAATACTCAGAAAATTCTGATATATGTTCAAAGTATCTTACTGTCTTCAGTTTAATTATTACCAAGGATGGCCATGTGATATTCATCTAACATTAAGGAGTCCATTCTTACGGGTGATCTTCACTTTCAGCTAGGTTTTAAGAGTTTAATTCTTCTGTTCCTTTTGGAGCTTTTCAGTTGGCAGACATTGTCTCTGATTAAATTGTGTTGCAAACGTTTCATTAGAGTCTCTAAAGAACTTGCCTGTTAAAAAGAAAATGGGTTGGATGGTTCCTATTTCAATACTGTTCCTATCTACACTTATGATTATGCTCCTTTTGAGAATGGGCAACCCCTGGAAGAAGAGCTCTGAAGATTTTCCACCAGGACCCAGGCCTTTGCCTGTTGTTGGAAACCTCCACATCATGGATCTGAAGAAACCTTACCAGACAATGTTAGAGGTAACATTTTTTTTATCCTTTCTGTTGCAGGGAAAAATTGCAGTATTCTGTGACTTTTGTAAGCCAGGGAAATTAAAGCTTGCTCTGACTAAAGAGAAATGCTCTTATTAAATCAAACGGTTCATTCATTCCCGACAAATAAAAGAATGTCCTATTCATTCTTTTTTTTTTAAATCTAAGCCCTGAATCTAGGTAGATCAACACAATATATTACTATAGAAAGACAAAATGGATAGTTTTGAGATGAGGGCTTTGAAATATGTGTGACCATGTTCAGTTTAAAATAACTCCAACTTATTTTTATTCCCACCCCCAAAACAAATAAAAACTTGGTATAGTTTTCAGTAAACAACTACATATATCCATATAAATAATGTGTAAATACTGTACATTATATTAGAAATA